GAAATAGCTTGTCCGAGGTCTTCCAATAAGTTCACAGAGCAGCTTCTCCTTAAAATTAGTGGAGCTCAGTGTGGCCAGATAGCTCAGTGGATTAAAGTGCCTGCTTAGGCAGATGCAGGGGTCAGGGGTTTGATCCCCGGCCTGCCATGCTGGCCCTGACCCCAGGAGACTGGGTGTGGTGGTGTGTACCTGTAATCCCAGCCCTTGGGAAGCTGAAAACAGGAGAATCACTACAAGTCCAATCTGAATAGTGAAACCCTGTGAACCCTGCACTAAATACTGAATAAATAAATAAAGGCCAAACTTTTAGGCCGGGGAGATAGCTCGGTAGAATAAGTACTTGTACTCCTGGCAAGTACAAGGTCCTCAGTTCAATCCCCAGTACCACAAATAAATAAATAAATAAATAAAGTAAAATAAAATTAATGGAGCTCAGCATGGGAAAAAGTACCCTTCTATGCATCAGCTGCAGACTGGCCCTGAGGTGGTTTTTGGTATAATGGCAGTGAAATAAATGGAGTCTTTATAGAGGACAGAGGCTATGCATTTGTTGCTTATTACACAAATCATGAAACTGATGTATCAGATAAAAGGCAGCCCGGGTGCAGTGGTGTGCTTATGTAATCCCAGTACTTGGGAGGCCACAGCGGGAGGATCACCGGGAGTTCAAGGCTACCCTGAACCACATAGCAAGATCCTGTCTCAAACTCCCACCAAAAAAAGAAGGCTTTTAAAGTAGTAGAAATCCAAATTAAGATGACATGAGCAGTACTGTGTTTGCCAGGCCTACCAGTGCACACCTGTAATCCCAGCATTCTGGGAGGCTGACGCAGGAGGATCAATGTAGGCAACATAGTGAGACTGTGTCCCAGTATGAAAAATTTGACAAGAGGGGGCAGGGCGCATGGCTGGAAATGAAGGTCCTGAGTTCCATTTTCAGTACAAAGAAAAAAAAAAAAAAAAAGGATTGGTCTGCTTATAAGTTAAAAGTTCAGGTGCAGAGCCCTGTACAATGCCAGTTCCACCACCACCACCACAGTGAAGATGGCCACCAACAGCTCCCCAGTGACATGTTCTTTTTTTTTTTTTATTACAAAGCTGAAAATACTGAGTGTTTCGTTTTTTGGTTTTTTTGTTTTGTTTGTTTGTTTGTTTTTTCGGAACTGGGGATTGAACTCAGACCCTTGTGCTTGCCAGGGAAGCACTTATTCTACTGAGCCATCTCCCCGGCCCCCCAATGACATGTTCTCCCATGGCCATTGAGCCAAACTGAGCTCAGACCAGCTGGACCACCGAAACGGTCCCTGTGGCCAGGTGGGTGCCACTTGCTAATTATCCAGGGGCTCAGAAACCAGCCCAATCCCTGTGACCCAGGAAATAGCATTAAGCTGATTAGCTTGGAAAACCCGGGCCATCCTGGGAACAGAGGCCTCCCATCCAAACTTCAGGCTGGAGGGGTGGGAAGAGAGAAGATGTCAGCTGCATCAGCCGCCTGTAGGGGGTGCTGCGTCCTCTCTCCCCACGCCAGGTGAAATCCCCGTGCGATGGCATCTTTTGATGGTCTTTGAAATGAAGATGATATGAGTTGCCACGGTGTCACTGATAGCTGGTACTGGGCCAGAAGGACAACTCAGAATGACTCTTCACTCTCCTCTCCTTTTCGTCCCTACGGAGGGCATGTGCACCCGAGATGCAGACCAGGGCAGTTACACTTGCGCCTCAGTCCTTGGGACATTTTGGCCATCTGTCCCACTACAAGGGCAAAGGGACTGATGGGCTTTAGCTTCAGAAACTTCTTCTCCCTGGGTGGACTGGCCCAAGCGCCCTGCCACCCACGTCCCCAGCCCTGAACCTGAAAACTGGATCTTCCCGTCCCCCTGCCTCGCAGGCAAGGAAAGGAGAGAAGGCGCAGAAAGGGCAGTGAGAGCGCAGAAAACCTTTGGTCCAGACCAGCCCTCACCTTTCCAGGAAAGCACAGTCCCCAAGCCCCCAGCCCCGAGTAGGGACTCTCTGTAGAGAGATCCCTCTAATCTGCTGAGAGAGCATGCAGGACACCACATGGGGCCTTGGTGGTCCTCGGTACAGTGCAGCAGGGACTCGCAGGCCTTTTCAGCTTCCTCTCCTGGAGCAGGTGACGCACACAGAGTGCTGGCACTGTGGAGAGCAGGGTGCAGAGGGTGGAGAGAGGAGGGATGCCCTGCTGGGCACTCACGGATGGGGGTGCACTGGAGGGAGCTGGGAGCTAGTGACCTCCGAGGGCTAATCAGTAAGCTCTGCCCCCCCCCCCCCAAGAGTGCTGTGCTGGGAGCTAGAGGCACAGTGGTAAGGTGGGTGAGGCTCCTATCTCTTGAGCAGGAGTTTGTCACTGGTGAGTGAAAACAGGAAACATGTTTAGACTCAGACCAAAGGTGGTTCTGGGGTGTGGCATACTCAGCTTTCTGAATTTCTGAGCTCCCTACAGCTGCCTTTAAATGGTGGGGGAGGGGGACTGGAAAGGGCCAGCTGCCAGCCCAAACTCATAAAGTCAAGTTTCTAAATTACACAAAAGCCAGGTGTAGTGGTGCATTTCTGTAATCCCAGCACTCTGGGAGGCTGGGAGGCTTAGCTAGGAGGATCACAAGTTCAAGCCCAACCTGGGCAACTTATCAAGGCCCTGTCTGAAAATAAAAAAATTTAAAAAGGAGGAGGGAGTTTTGGAGATGTAGCTCGGTGCAAACCCTGGGTTTAACCCTCAGTGCCCTGCCCCCATAAAAAAGCTACCTTGTAGAAAAAACCCTAGAGATCCCGAAATTCTACCAGCTCAGTCATAATAAAGAGCCAGAGGCCAGGCATGGTGGTGCACACCTGTAATCTCAGCACTTGGGAGGCTGAGACAGGATTGCTGCAAATTTGAAGCCAACTTGGGCTACAAAGTGAGTTCAAGGCCAGCCTGAACTACATGGTGAGACCCTGTCTCAAAAAGATAAAGGGGGAGGGGCTAGGGATGTGTTTTATTGTGGAGAAGTTGCGTAGCATACAGAAACCCCCGAGTCCCATGCCCAGTACAAAAATAAAGAGGGAACCAGAAGCCCAGAAGGATGACAAAGCATCATCCATGTATAACTGATATTTTTTAGCACCTCTGGGGTTTTTTTGTTTGTTTGTTTTTGTTTTTGTTTGCTTTTATGTATCGAGTACAAGGTCTACAGGGTCTCACTACACAGATCAGACTTATAGTGTTTCTTGATTACAGGCACACACCACCATGCCCAGTCTTAATTGCAGTCTCAGTGTGCCCCAGGGGCAGGGCCAGCATGGCATACCAGGGATCAAACCCTGCTGCTGCGCTCTGCCCAAGTCGGCACTTTAGTTTGCTGAGCTATCTGGCCGGCCCCACAGTACCTCTGTTTCTGATGCTGTAGTACAATGACGGCCTCCCACCATGAAGGGGGCCTCCAAACCCCTACACCCTGGAGTTTGTGGGCCTCCCAGCACTAGGTGCAGCCCCCCTACAGTCCAGCTTTTCCCACAACCTCACCCCCCAAAAGCCTTGCGCCTTATCCCCTTCACGTAGGCCTGAAGTCCTACGGTCTGGACAGCAGAGCTGGGGGTGTAGCTTAGTGGTGGAGCCCAGGCTGAGTATACACGAGCCCTAGGCTCAATCCCAGCACCAAAAAGGAAAAATAAAAAAAGACCTGGAGAGCACACTGTGCCGGCCGTAGAAACAAACAGCCCTGGGAGAAGGCACAGTGACTGCTGGAGGGATCGGCAGGGCTAGCACATGAAGTCTGTTTTCCATGTGTCTGGAACCAGGCCGGAGCTTCTTGGGGTAATTTTAACCAGTATCCACTCTAGAACAATACCAAAAAAGGTAAGTTAGTTGCCATGCCAGACACGCACATACCTAACCATTGGCTTTCATGAATTAGATCCTTAAACCATCCAGCACTAAAGCTGCTTTGAGCACTGACGCCAGGTCAAGTATTCCTCCGCGGAGCAGTCGGCCCTTTCATTGAGGTTAACTCCTAGCTATTCTCGCCCCCAGAAAGGCTGAGTGGCTCAGCTGTCCTGGGGAGGAAGGGTATTTTTAGACCCCAGGACAGCTGATTGGGGACTTGCTGCAGGGGTGAGAGGGCCCAGGAGGAGATGTGAATTACAAGGGGCTGAAGGGGGAAGCAAGGGTTAGCATCAAGGAGCAAGAGCCAGACGCTTTAGGACAAGTGGGTCACACTGCCTTTTGGTCATACTGCATTTTTTGATCCACAGTTTCTTAACAGAAGCCAGTAGCTCCCCAAGTATGGCCCCAGACGGGCCATAGCATCACCCAGTGAAAAGAAGCCACTCCATAAAAATGAGAACAGTCCCGAGCTAAGGCAGAACTCCGCCGGCTGGGGCCTACCCATCCATTTTCAAAGGCCCTCCCAAGGTTCTGATGCTAGTTTGAGGCTCACTAACACCAGCAAACCAGCGAACCAGATGCCCTCCAGGACGGGGCAGGAGGAAAGAAGGATCTGTGTCATTGCCTCTCAAGCCTTGATTGTTGAAAGCCAGGAATCCTCAGTCCAGAGAAAAACACTCTTATACTAGGGGCTCGCAGACCCAGGTTGGAAATGTCTGCTTTGGGGCAACCTGCTGCCCCTTCTCTGGACTGAAGTCCGCTCTGCAGAGAATCTCTGGGCTGAAAGATATCTTATGAGTCTTCTGGTACAATCAGAGAGGGGATCGGCTCCAGGGCATCCATGGAGGCTCAGTCCTTGCTGGACTGTTTCAGAGCCCAGAGCTCTCAGCTGCAAAGGTGCCCATGTCCTGGGGCCCACAAGGTCATATAGTGCAAAGTTATAGCTCTTGTCAATGCCTATGCTGGTTTATGCTAGCAAAGCTTCAATAATACAGCTGAAATACAGGCCTAAGTAAACAAACTAAAGGAAAACATGTTAGTATCCTAAATGATAAAAACGAATGTCTCAAAAAAAAAAAAAAAAAAAAAAAAAAAAAAAAACGAATGTCTCAGTGTTAGAGAACTCAGAATGATGGACAGTCCTCTTTATATTGATCTGATACTTGACTTCCAGACTCTCCAAGCCCCACCCCCCAATTTTTGCTTTCAGCCACAAAGAACAAAGCCAAAGGCTTGCTTTACAAGGAACAGCATTCACGTATCTAGCCTGGCTTGGCTCGGTGCAGGGCCGGCACTCAGAAGATGCAGGTGCAGCCCACAGCGATGGTCTCCATGACAGGGCGCAGGCGGCAGGGCCCAGGGCGTGGCGGCGGTGGGCAGAGGCGGCGGCGCACGGGCACCTGGCTGAATACCGGCACGCTCACCATGCTGCGGTCCTCCTGCATGGTGAAGGGATTCACGCAGCCCAGACACAGGCACCGTGCCTCGGGCAGGTCCGCGGGGATGCGGTTGGGGTCGTGGTTGATGCTGCAGGGAGTGAACAGGAGAGGGCATGGGGTGGAGGGGCGGGAGAAGCGAAGGCCCCTCTTTCCGCCTGCCCACACTTCTGGGGCAGCTGGGGTTCCTGAGACTAGAGACCCCATCACCCTCGCAAGGCCCTACCCCAGTGCCTGGCAAGTGCAAGGGCCTGAGTTCAATCCCCAGTTCTGCAAAAAAAAAAAAAAAAAAAAAAAAAAACACTTATCCCAGGCTTTTCTCTGCTCAGCGTCACAAGTCAGTGCCAGGTTTCTCCTTCACCCAGCAAGATGCCCGTGGCAGTACTAGACTGTGCTGTGGACACCACAGAAAGACCTACAGCCTCCCAACTGTTCCCTGGTCCTATTTGTATATTTTGAGGGAGCTTAATCTACAGAAATAAAATGCAAGGATTTTGAGGCTACTGCCCCCTGCAAGAGGAGCCCAGAAACCTGGCTTACACTGACAGTCTGCAGTCCATACTCATTCATGGAGTGTTTAGTTCTTTGTGAGCAAAATAGAGGCCTCCTGCCGCTGCATGGCAGAACCCAGTGTGCGGGAACTCGCTCTGGGGTTTAAGCTCCCGCGGTGCCTCAGTGCCTCTTTTCCTCTTCTGTTAAACGGGAATGAGGCCCAAGATGGCACACCGGCATTCCTCATCCTGCTTGGGAGCTGCTCAGAAATCCAGAACCTCCTGAACCACAGCCAACAGCGAATCACTGGCACAGGGAAGTGTGGGAAGCTGGGCTCGGGGACCCTTGTTGATGCTTCCAAAAGTCGAACTCCAGGGCTCTGAGGTTCAGTGCTGTAGTTCCTGGCCACTTGTCCCAACTTAAATTTAAGTTAATCAAAACTTAGTTGTCCGGTCTCAGTAGACCATGTCAGCTGTGCAGAAGCCCCCGGGGCCAGGAGAGTTTCCACCATTGCAGGACATTCCGGTGCTGCTCTAGGCCTCCGACATCAGTCACATGGCCAGAAGACCCTTGTCCAGGGCCTGGGAGGGACCTGGTTTTAGCATTTATTTCTATACTTCCACACCTTCTGTGTGTCAGGCACTAAGCTAAGAAGTGGAGCCTGAACCAGAGGGAGACACTGCTTGTCACCCCGCACAGTAGGACTGAGTCTCAGGCCAGAGCCCCACTGTGCATCTGAATCACGAGCAGATGCACACGGTGACACCATGTTCTGGGTGTCACCCTGGAGCACTGACGGGGCGTGGCATGGGAGCTAGGGTGACTTGGATGGAGGTGTTAGGAAGGTCCCTGCCTTGGCACAAGACAGACATGAGTGCCACCAGCAGTGTCTTGTGAAGAGCTGTGGCTGAGAAGCGTGTGCGAGGCACCCTTGCTGCACAGAGTAACATTTAGGGAAGGCCTTGCAGGTACTTCCGCTTGGACTTCTGAAACAGTCAGAAGCTCTGCATGGAGATGCTTTCAGAACAAGCCTGTGAAGAAGGGACCACTATTGCCTCCATTTACAGATGGGGAGACAAGCACTGAAAGGCTAATGGGCTAGCCCAAAGCCTCACTCCCAGTAAGAGACAGAGGCAGGATCCAACCCAGGTCCTGAGATCTCTAAGCCAGGGTCTTGTCTGTCCGGACGACAGGGATAGTGGAGAGACCCAGCCTACCTGTAGCCCCAAGGAGACAGGCTCCTCTTGTTGGAGAGCCACAGCTGCAGGTTGACCTCGCACTTCCTCGGAGCTGGTTCAGAGACATTTCTCAGCTGGGCCACCATCTCCCCCAGGTTCTTCTCATACTCTTCCATGCGGGCGTAGGGCTTCACCCGAGATACCAGGTCCAGGGGTACCTGGTGAGGCCCAGGGGCCAGGGTCCCAGGCCTTCCTTGCCCCTTCCTCCTGCCTTTGGGGCTCCTGGGCTGGCCCAGTGCCAGGAAGATGGAAATGGCAAGAAGCAGCAGCTGGGGAGAAAGGAGCACCCTGGTCAGAGGTGGGACAGCTAAGGCTCTGGGTCAGGGAGGAGCGGGAAGGGGGGCGGGCCTCTGCAAGGCCACCTTAGCTGCCGCACCCTGGCTGCCCTGGTCCATCCACACTGGCTGTGCACTGCTCTGTGATGACCCCGTGTATCTCCTTCTTCCTCCCTTCACATCTGAGAGTCCTGAAAACAGGGCACCCCTACCCACCCTCACCTGTTCCCCTGCAGTACCTCATCCCCTCCGACAGTGGGCAGATCTGCAGCCTCACGGCCATTCTTCCACTCACTGCTGAAGGCAAGCACTGAAGGACAATGCATTTGAAAGGCAAATACACAGTGTTACCCCCTCTGCCTGACACCTTTCATGCTGCCGTTAGAGGTGTCAGGCCCCTCCCTTCTTCAGCCCCAGCCTCTGGCCTTCTTTGGTCCCTAGCTCTCTTGCCTTGGGGACCCTGCACAGCCTGGGCCTCTTCTCTCACCTTCACACACCTATGTGGGGTCTAGCGTCACTGCCTCAGGGATGCCTGGGCAGTCTTGGATTCTCCCAACCCCCACAACTTGCAGGACTGGCTTTTGACATTTACACATGTGATCCTTTTGTCTGGCCCCTATGAAGCACAGACTCCCAGAAGGCATCAATTGGGTCAGTTTTCACATGCTGTCCTACCCCTTCCGCCTGCCTGGTGCTTAGGTAGTCAGGGAGCACACTCAGGTAAAGGGGTGACCCCCACCATCCCAGCACAGGAGTGGCTGACAGTCCAGGAAGGGAAATAGCTCTAGCGAGAAGGGATGGCTGGAGAAGAGCCGGGCTCCTGCCTACCCTGCTTCCATGGAGCAGCAGTCTGGACAAAGGGACATGACAGGTGGGGCTTACAGGATAAGGGAGGTACACACACACACAGGGACAGACGCATCTTCCCAGCAGGAGAAAGATGGGCAAGGAGGTTTGAGTTAGTCACAAGCTTTGGTGAAAGGAAAGAGTTAGACTGAAAGGGGTGGGTAGAGGAGGGGCGTGTGAGATGAGCAAGGCGAGCCAGGCAGGACCCAGCTCCCTGTGGGGCTCCAACTCTCAGGTCCCTGCACTCTTCCACCTCACTGCTGGCCACCTCCCTCCCCAAACCCATCACATCAGAAAAGCCTATGGCTCTCAGGGAAAGAGCAGACTGCCCAGGAGGCCAAGGAAAGAGGACCCACCAGTCCCTGGGTGGGAGGCAGGCTGGCCAGGTGACTGCCTTCCAGGTGAGTCTTACCCCTGGCTGTACCTAGCCAGGCCCACGCTTTCCTGGCATCCCTCCTCCACGGCCTACAGGCCCTGACTGATCCAGGCCTCCCAGCAAGCCTGGACCCTGAAGAATGAGCTCCAGCAGAGCTCTTTCCTGGCAGACCCCTTTTCTGGCACACACCTATAAGAGATTCAAGTTGCTACATTTGCCCTTTTTGCTTTTTTCAGTGCAAAAAAAAAGCTACTTAACAATGGGCTCTCTCATCTGAGCTTCTCACATGCTTTTTTTTTTTTTTTTTTTTTTTTTTGAGAAAGGGTCTCACTATGCCATTCAGGTTGACCTTGAATTCACCATGCAGCCCAAGCAGGGTGCTGGGATTGCAGGCATGTGCCACCATGTCTAGCTCTCTGCTCAGACACCCAGAGGAGACTCAGAGACCCTCCCTCACTTGCCAGAAAGGAAACAGAAACAGAAGGACTTGCCTAAGGTCACACAGCCTGCCCCAGGCCCAGGAGGCATCCTGGAAAATCCCCAGTCTCTGAGCTTGCCAGGATCTCCCCAGATGCCTTGCCCTGAAAGAGCTTCAGTGTGGATGGCCGAGCCCCAGGTCAGAGCCCGAGCTCCTGGCCATGGCTGCAGGCTGTGAGACCAGTCTCTGTTTCTCTCTCATCCTAGAGGAGAAGACAGAGGGGAAACACACTTCTGCAGACTCCAAGCCAAACAGAGGCAGCCATTAATCAATAGAACAGAAATGCTACAGCGCTCAGGCTCTAAAAAGAGTGGGGGCAGGGGGTGCGCCACGTACCAGGTTGTGTGGCCAGTCCATCCCGCCAAGCCGGCGGTCGGCCTGCAGCTGCCGCCGCCTGGAGCCCCAGATGCCGCTGTGGAGAGAATGGCAGCAACAGGATGGAGCGAAGCAATTATAGCTGCCAGGGGGCTGCCGGGGGAGTGGGTGGGTGGGCTCGTCATCAGCCGGGAGACTTGGGCCCCAGCTGGCTGGGCCTAGCACAGAGGCAGTCAGCGAGGGGTGTGGGGGCAGGCCAGGAGCTGGGCTGAGGTGCCCAGGGGCTGTTGACCAAGGGACAATGCCCTGTGTGTCTGGTGGCGTTCTGGCCGATGGCACTTCTGCCTGTGGCCTGTGGCCGGCCGGCCGGCCAGCACCCACAGGGCCAGCTAAGACAATCAGCTTCGTTTGCTTTGGGGATGGCCAGGGGATGGGTGGAGGCGGGCTGAGCTGTCGGTGGGTCTGGAGAGGGTGTGGGCTGAGGCCAGCAAAGGGGCCCTATCTCCCAATGAAACCACCTGGGGCACCGCCCTCTGCCCCACTCAGCTGAGCTATGGGCCCACTCCTCTACTACACACACAGGAAACTGAGGCTGGGGTGCAGGGATCTGTGTAGCCATGACACACCTAGGGGTGGTGCCTGGTTCCCATCCAGAACTCCGTCTGCCACCCCACACTGTTTGTCTTGGGATATTTCCTGCACAAAGCCAGCCTGCTGTGAAGCCGTGAGCATCACATAAGCTGAACTGCAGACCCAGAAGGACATCATGGCCGACAGCTCTGGCCTTCCGGGAACAGTGTACTCTCCTGTATATGCACAGTGTGCCTGCCCAGGGCCTGGCCCCTGGCTGCTGCTTGTGACCCTCCTTCTCTTTCAGCCTCAGTTTCCCTCTCTATAAAATGGGAGTCAGGCCCACAATCACCCAGCCTATTGCTGCCCAAGTCTTTCTGAGCCTTGGGTCTCAGATCTCTAGAATGGGAATAATCACTCTATCTGCCTCTCAAGGCTATTTGAAGGAGTAAAGGAAATAAGTCATGTTAAATAGCTCGCATGTGCCCCAGCACATAATAAGTGCACAATAAATACTTGGCTATTTAATATAAAAACTATGATAAAACTATTTTATACCTGCGATTACAAACACTAGCCATTCTGATTCGCATTGGCGCCAGCATGGTTCTCATTGCCCAGCCAACTGCCCTCCCCTCCCATCGTGCCCATCCTCCTGGCTGAGAGAATTCCAGCCTTTCCAAACTCAGGCCACAACTTCATGAGCTCAGGTGACCCCGGGGGCCACAGGGTCTGGACTCACAAGCTGGCCCAGTTCTCTCACCTCAAGTGAGCAGCAAACGTGTGCGGGCGCGAGTCCACCCAGGGAGGCAGGATTGGGGGAGTGTGAGGAGGAGAGCAGGCCACTGGGATGCCAGCGCTGCCCTGTCCTGCCGAGGGCCCGTCCTGGCCATTTACAGGAATAGCGAAGGGAAGAAGGCAGGGCGAGAGGCGCTCCTGAGTGTCACAAGATTAATCTGCCCAGGGCAGGTCTCCACAGCATAGCTGAGAAGCTGGCCGGGGCCGAGCACCTCGTGAGATACCACCATATTTGGTCAAATGCTAGACAAGACTGTTCTGTCGCTGGAAACTCCAGAGGGAGGGGGACTCTGAAAATACCTCCTTGGGCAACAAAGGCCCCTGCCCCCAGCCCCAGCCATCCTATCCCCTCCAGTGCTTTCCGCTGAGCCACTGAAAGGGTCAGTCTGAGGGCCAAGTGGGGGCATCCGAGTGTGTTCTTTGGTGGCCTTCTGCTATCCCTGCAGCTGGGTGACCTCACCTTATATCCATGGAAAGTGGAGTACTAGGCTGCAGGCCCCTCTGCCACTCCCTGACCTGCTGACACCCCAACTCCCAGCTTCTGTGTCCCAACGCCATAACTCAGGGCCTTCCCCACGTCTCAGCCTGAATCGTGATGGAAGAGACGTAGGAATCTGCATTTCAACCCAAACCGCTAGGCAGCTGCAGGGGCCCTCACCCCTCATCTAGCCCACTCCCTCTACCCATTTTGTAAAGGAGGCTAAAGCCCAGAGAGGGACAGAGCCTGCCTAGCCAAGCCCATTTAGAGCATTTGTGCTGTTCGCGCCTTTCGTGCTGGGGCTGGGAGCAGCACAAGTCCCTCAGTTCCTTCTGTTGTGCCTCCCTCAAGTCTATCCGACAGCTCCGGCCAGAAGAGGGCTCCTGGCTGGTCTAGAGGGAGCCGAGGAGCCAGGCTGAGAGCTGGGCCCTCACAAAAGGTGCGCAGAGGGCCTCCCAAAGCAGGTGCCCAGCTACTCTCCTTGGAGTTCTCATTTCAGGACCAGGAAGGAGTCCTGTCCTCCGGCCGTGGCTTCCGAAACCACTGGAGGAGGGTCGTCGTCCTCAGGGACATTCTGAGTGCAAACCGAGAAAAGTGAGCCGGCGGGGGAGGCCCAGGAGGCAGGGATGCAAGAGGCTGAGCGCATCTGAGGCGGAGACCCTAAGGTCTATCGGGGTGAAAGGTCTGCGCGGAGTAATCCGAGCTCGGAAGGAGCCCGCGCGGGTGAGCGTCGATCTGCGCAGAGGCCCAGGGAGAGCAGTGCCGCGCTCACCACCAGGGGGCGCCCGCAGGAAGCCAGACAGCTGAGAGGAGCGCCGCGAAGCCTGCAGTGAAGTTGGGCCCGCGCTGCCCTGGCTTGCAGATCTCCCGGGATGGAGCCAGACCAGAGCCCAAGGCACCGTCCAGGCAGGGCAGGAATGCATAGCCGGCCAATGTGGAAAGGGGCCTTGAGTTTATGGCACCCGGAAACCACGATGCTCCAAAAATGACAGTAATGATAAGGATGCTGTTCCTCACTTCCAAGAACACCCCACCTTGCAGTGGTGTAAGGAGAGGAGGGTGCCACAGCCTCGCCCATCATCCTCAAACAACCTGGGCCCTGCCAAGCCAAACTAGAGTTCACAGGGAGCCCAGAGGGCTACCGGCTGTGGGCACCCCAACCCCAGCATCTCTGGCACGTGGAAGGTGCACACTGAATACTTGATGCATCAGGTCAAACCAACTGCAGCAATAATGCTGGGATAGCGAGTGGGTAGCCAGAACAGTGCAGGCCCAGAGGAGGAGCTGCAGACCCGCAGGGTAAACTCAGGTTCCTCCAGTCCCCAGGCTGGAGTCATAGAGCCGCTCGCTCCTTCACAGCGGTGTGGGCTTGGGAAAGTTACTTGACTTTGCTGAGCTTTTAGCTCTTTCTGCACAGCGGAGCCAATAAAACTTGGCTCTCTGTCAATTATGAGGCTCAAATGAGATGATACAAGAGAATGCATGTACTGACATGGAGCCTGGCAAAGAAGAGCTCAGGGGATGGTACTGCAACTGCCATTGCTGGTGTTAGAAGAGGTTTGAGGTGGGCTTTCAGGGGTGCTTGCGGTGCCTCTACAAGGAAGACTGAGGCTAGAGTCAGTGAAGGAATGTGGAGGCCCCTATTCAGTGGGCCCACCTGGGAGGATGCAATGGCTTGGTCTAAGACCTTGCCAAAGAAGACCAAGAAGGTGGAGGCTGGCAGGCACCTGGGCTGGATGCAGCCTGTACCCCCATCCAAGATCCTGGCTCTTCTGCCACACCACCCACAGCTCCCAGCAGGAATCCTTCTCCCAGGCCCATATTTGCACAAATGCCTGCCTCACTGCTCACTCCAGGGCCCCAGCCAAGAGGGGCTATTTTAAGCTCCCTGGATGGGAACATTGTTGGTGGGAACAACCCCAGCCAGCAAGCTCCTGGTTCTCAAAAAAGGGAAAGGCCTGGGTGAATGGGCAACCCCTGGGACATGCAGAGGGGCTGTCATATTATCACTGCCCCTGCCCAGGTCAGGTGCTAGTGCCTGTACCTTTGAAAGCCCGGGGAACAGGGAGTCGGGGTAGGGCTGTCTGACAGAGCTCTGAGCTCATCCTTCCACCAGTACCAGCTCAGAGACAGCAAGTCCATTCTCCTGGGTCTCAGAATGACTCCACATGGGACCTAGCACCTTGTTAGCATACACTATCCCCAGACCGTGAGAGGTAGGGGCACCTTGCCCAACCCCTACAAGTGCAGGGCCCTTCTGAAGGATCTGTAGTGATGACCTCCCTCGGCAGCACTAATGCTTGGCCAGTTTGGGCTGTTTTCATTGTAACTTGGTTTGGTTTGGTGTGTGCCTATTTGTCGTGTGCTGTTTTTGTGGGAGTAGGTGCTATTTTTGCTCTTTGATTCTTATGGAGAGTCAGTGTAGACTAATATTTAAAGCACAGTCTTTGAACTAGAGTGACCTGCACCCCAGCCCACCCTGCTCCCCAGTGCAGCAGCTGTGTCCCCTTGACCTAACCTCCCAAGCCTAGGCTGGCAAGACCATGCTCCCTAGGTGGCTGTTCAGCAGTGCTTAGGGAATGGCCCTGCAATTTTTTTTTTTTAATTTTTTTACAAAGTTGGGGATTGTAAAAAAATCCCCAAGCAGGCCCTTGTGCTTGACAGGCAAATACTTATTCCACTGAGCTATCTGCCCAGCCCCACTGTTGTGCACATTATTCTCCACTCTGCCCAATCCAAAGGCACAGAACCATTCTAGTCAGTTCCAGAACTTTCTGACTTCCAAGAACAGAATGGACTGCCCTGCAAAAAGTGAGTTCCCTGTCTGGCCAGCATCTCAGCAGAGTTTGGAAGACTGGTTGAGGCCACTGGGAGTGGTGTGCAAGAGAGGAAGGAGGTGGTCTTAAGTTTTAAAAGTTCCCTTCCAAGTTTGATGTTGGGATGCACACCTGTGATTCCAGCACTTGGGAGGCTGAGGCAGGAGAAATACCTCAAGTTCTAGGCCAGCTTGAACTACATAGAGAATCTGTCTCAAAAAAAAGCGGGGTTGGAGGGGGAGGATGTAGTTCATTGTGGAGGCATTGGATTCAGTCCCTGGAACTCAAAAGCAAAAAAGAAACCTCCTTTCCAGGAGGTCTGAACTGTCTGCCCAAGGCCTTGGACCCCCATGGGGTTGCCCGCCTTCACTTGCTCAGACCTGGTCCAGGAAGGAGCCTGAGGAAGTTGGTGGGGGATATGGAATAAACAGCTGTCCCTAGGGAAGCTGAGGTCCCTGGGCCCTCCCCAGTTGTACAGCTCCCCCACCCCACCCTGCCCCCAAGTCCCTGGGGATGTTTATGCTCTGGTCAGAGTTTACAGGACATCTAGATTTACAAGATCCAGGTTTCTGACATTTCCCCCCAAAGCTGTCAGCTCCTTCTCTCACTGGGTGGCTCTGTGTCTATTTGGGGTTGAGGTCCCACCCTGTAGCAGAACGAAAGATAGAGGGCAGACAGTCCGAGAAATGTTCTCTTCGGGCCCCAAAGTGGGGACCTGGTGGAAGAGGTCAGCCAGGCCATGAGGTGTAAGAAGGGGAGGGTTGGAGTTTCCTGGCTGCTGACAGGAGTCTGGGAGCGGGGCCAACAGGGACGGGGTCCTTACAGCCTCCCCACGGTGGGGTACAGTGTCTGCCCCCTAGTGTCAGGCTGGCCCTGCAGAACCAGTGGGAGCTGGTACGGCTGCAGTTACTTGCTCAGACAGCACTGGTGTTGGTGCATGTCTGTGTGTGCTGTGGATGGTGTCTTGGACATGTGCTCTGTTTGGATATTGTTTTGAAAAGCCGTCAAGGCTCTGAGCCACTCATTTGCAAACAGGAAGCCTGGGGCCAGGATGCTCAATGCAGCAATTACTGAAGGACACCCTGCTGGTAGCCACACATGAGACACAGTTTATAGGACCAGCAACAACCCTGAGACACATGACATCACCCTAAGCAAGCAGCCTCTGTCCCAGTCCTCCTGATCCCATAAAACACATGAATTCTTAGGGCCACAGTGAATCCCACCAGGACCTCCTTACAAGGTTTGTCTCTGTGACCCAGACCTGTGAGAGACAGGGCTGAATGGCTGTCCCACGAGGTGATCTAAATGTCTCTGCAGCTGGGCTCTGTTGGTGTCCGTGAGCTGCAACCTCTAAGGCATCAGCCTGTTGGCACAGAGAGGCCTTGAGGATTCTCAAGAGTTCTTAACAGCACATACTTGGCCCACACTGGTTGGAGCCTGGGGGTGCAGTAGGAGACAGCTAAGACTCTGGGCTATGTTCTAGGGGAGGGTGGTGGACATGACAATGACAGTACTTTAGGATCAGCCTGGGGCTCAGGGACTCTGCTAGGCCCTCTCCTCTCTTTCTCTGCCACTCCTGCATCCGTGGGAACTACTAGATTTTCTGGGAAGCCTGTGACCTCAGGCCTCAGGTCACGAGGAGGAAGGTACAATGTCTCCAGAATGTGAAAGCATGCCAAATTTCCATTGGAAGTTCAGTTCTCATAAATACTGTGGGGAAAGAGGAAGAAGCAGCTAGCATGGAATCTAACC